TTCCATCCAACCTAAAATAAAGACACAAAGGACAGGCAGGTGGTGGGGAAATGAGGGGGAATTACAGTACAAATGAGATCTAATACTGTCCTAGAAATGGACAAGTGTTATTAGTGGAAAGGACAGGCAGAGGGGAGAGGTTTCTGGGTCATTTTAAAAGGAAAAACAGGGAGCTGGCCAGTTAGTCCAAAGCACGGTGCTGATAACAGCAAGTTCCAGAGTCCAATCTCTGTACCAGCCAGCCCCAAAATAAACAAACAAATAAATAAAAATAAAAGGAAAAATAAGATTTGGGCTCTCTACACACTCAAATTAGTTGATTAAGGGAAAGGCTAAATACAACACTCATTTCAAAAATCACTAATTCAGCCAATAAAGTAGCAGTTTTTGAAATAAATGAGTTTAAATTCAACCAGTAGTTTTCAAACTGGTTTTTCTACCTTAAAAAAAAAATTTTGAAATAAATGAGTTTAAATTCAACCAGTAGTTTTCAAACTGGTTTTTCTACCTTAAAAGACAAAAAAGAAGTCTTTACTTAGAAAAATTTCTGGTCAGAAAAAGTATTGATGAAATTGTTCACCACCATTTGTTGAGCAGAGAGCAGTGGCCCCCTTGGGCTGAGAGGACGCCCTACTTCTACAACCGCGTGCCACAGACAATGATGAAATTGTTCACCACCATTTGTTGAGCAGAGAGCAGTGGCCCCCTTGGGCTGAGAGGATGCCCTACTTCTACAACCGCATGCCACAGACAAATCCCTCGGCACAAAACTGTGATGCCACCAGAAAAACAGGTGTCGGTGCCTCTTTTCGATCAGTCGCCATTATTTGAAAATGCAGAAGTCAGCATTTGTGGGCTACTTTGTATTCAGCCACACCACTACAGGCCGGGACAGGCTTGGAGGTAATCTCCATTACCTAGGTCTGGAAAGAATGTGATCGCCTGCGGAGTTCCAACTTCTGAGCCTGACACCCCGCTGCCGGGCAGATCAGCATCAATGTGCAGAAAAAAAAAATCCCTCCTCAAAGTGAGCTATTTTTTACTTGGATCTGTTTTCCCTCCCAGAGAGATGTAAAACTTGGCAGATTTATAAACAGGCTGGAAGTTGGAAAAATAGAACACAAAAGAAATGATACTATACAATGAAAAAACACTGAGCCTGAACATTGAAAAAATGTTTCAGTGAAGAATCCTAATAAAACACGTCTCTTTATGCAGCTCATTAATCAATAAGTAATTAATTAAAATGTTCTTTCTTTACAAAATGTCTAAGAAGCTAAAAGAATGAACTATTCAATTAATAGTACTGCCTAATGTCAATTTAAAAGATACTGAAGCATATTTAATAATAAACAATAAGAACTTGGTTCATAAATTGCGAAAAAGAACTACTAAAGAATCTGCACATTCTGACTTGGATTGAAATTGTGGGTAATCCACACATTTAATGAATGTGCTTCCCAAATCCTGGAAGATTGCGAGAGAAAAGTTTCAATTTTAAATGGCTGGAAAAGTTTTAAAGCAAACTCTAAAACCCAACTGTTTATGTCTCTGATTGCTTGGCACATTTTTTCCTGGAAATCCCCAGACACATTTTGTTCATAAAAAAAAAGAGCTCCAAGATTGAGACAATTCTCCGCTTACTCAAAGAAGAGAAAATAAATTATCAAGATGCTCCAGAAATTTGAAAAAAAAAAAAAAAAAATTCTAGGCAGAAAACAGGTAGCAACTCGACTAGTCCCTGCCTTCAAAATACTTGCAAAATAAAACTCCCCTGGAGTGCATTCAGGTTGCTCCTCCCCAGCCTAGGGCCATAACGCAGGGTAACTACGTCCTGAAGCTCAGGGCCTCTTAAACCAAAAGCCCCACGAGGGACGGGCTGGCAGGGGACGGGGAGGAGGTGGGCTGCGGGACGCCCACAGCTCAAGCGGGCATACGCAGTCCGTTCCCGGGGACCTGGGGAGAGCAGTTCGTTATCTGCGCCCACCATCCAGCCAGCTAACCCCCCTCGGCCTGTTCCAGCTCTCTTCCCGGTGGGCCTCTCCTGGGCACCCTGGCCAGCGCGGGCCCACAGCGTCGCCCTCCCCTCCACAACCCCCTGCCCACACTGTCCGGATCAAAGGGCAGACCCTGGACCGGCGCTCCGCGACCAAGCCACTGGGGTCATTCATTCGGTGCTTTTAAAAAAGGAGGAAACAAAGGGCCCAGGCGCAGGGCCACAGGTGCGCTCGCTGCAGAAGCTGCGGCGCGGTCGACATGTGGGGCCCGGCTCGTCTCGGCAGAGCTTCGACCCCAGGCCCTGCAAAAAAGCTTCATTTAGAAGACATGGGAGGCCGCGGCGGGGTCCCCTAGAGACGAGACCCCGCGCCACACACAACCTCCGTACAAACGCCCCGGGTGGCCAAGGAGCACAGGCGCCGCCGCGGCCGTGGTCTCGGGGTGACCAGAAGTTTGGGGTGAGCCTGTAGAGACGACGGACCCCTGAGTGCCACCGTGGCCACTGGACAGGGCCGGGAGAGGTTGGGTTTTGTTGTCGCAGCCCCGCCTCGCCTGACCTGCCGGCCAGGA